TCTGACAGCCACAGGGCCCACGCACCCGGGGGCAGGGGCGCCGCACGTGTCGGGTGCGTGGTACTGTACTGCGCGGCGGCCTTTGATCGTCTGTTGAGCGTTGAGGACCCAAGTCATGGTTCGATCCATCGTTGCTACCAAAAATGCTAGACTTGGCTACAAAGCATTCCCCACCAACCCAAAAGGCCCTCCCTGCTCTCGCCCTCGCCCATCCGCCTCCGGAGTCCACACGAGCGCGCCTCAGCAAACCTAAGGCCAACTCCACCGCGCGACCCCAAACGGACGTCCGGTTTGGCCGGATTTTGTCCGTTTGGGACGGCAATGGGGCGGCCCATGTCCGCGTTTGTCCGATGGGTCGTGGGTGCGCCCAACGCGCGGCCGCACCCCAAAACCTGTCCGGGGTGGACGTGAATAAAAAAACTTTAAAAACTAAATGAAATGACTAAAAAAAGTAAATAAACTTAGTTAAAAATATAAAACATATATATAGGGGTTACGGCCACAAAACGGCCCATTTTGTCAGTCCACTTAACGACCCAGTTCGTAATTAACATAAATCAAAAAAGAAAAACGCCTCCCGCGCGCTCCTGCTCCTGCCGCGCCCGTCGATGCTGTGGCCGACGCCGCTCACTGACCGCCGGTGTCATCATCGTCGCTGACCAGGTCGACGTAGGCCAGCGGCGTCCAGAGATGGGCCGGCGGTGCATGGTAGACGGGGGCTGGCTGGACGGCGGGAGGTGCCTGCACCACCTCCTCCCGTGGCGACGCCTCCCGCTCCGGTGACCGCGGCGGCGTGGGGCGCCAGTTCACGCCCACGGCGTCGACCATCTCTTCTGCCGTGCACGACCAGCCCCACCCCTGGCCAACCAGGCCCGAGTGGAACGCGGCCACCGGCGGCTCCTCCACCTCCTCCTCCTCCTTCGCCACCATCTCGAGCTCGGGGATGGCGACCTCGCCGGCGGCAGAGCGGGCCAGCATCTCCTCGAGGCCCTCCCACTGGCGCTCGTCGTGCGTGCACATGGAGTCCTCCATGACGCGCGCAACGAGACGGGCCTCCTCCTCTTCCGTCATGCGAGGTGGTGGTGGTGGCGATGGAGACGGCGAAGGCGACGGCGTGGGCGTGACACCGCGCACCCGCCTACGCCCGCGCTCCTGGGGAGCAGGCGCTGTGCGCTCCTGTCGTGGCCGCCGCGTCCCCGTCGAGGTGCCGGCGAAGAACGACGCGCGCCTGGTGTCATGCTCGTCACAAAACCAGGTGTCCCAGAGGCCGGAGTCGGGGGCGTACCTGGGGTCGTAGAAGAGGTCGTCGGGGAGGAGGCGGCCGCGGCGCTCGATCTCCACGTCGCGCACACGGCTGCTCATCGGGACCGGCGGGATGGGGACCCGGTCGGCGGAGAGATGCCAGTTATTGGGGAGATGGACGTCGCTCCAGGGGAGCGGCGTCCTCGTCTCCCAATAACGGCGGCATACCTCCGCGCGGATGTAACGCCGGTCGCGCTCGCCGGCGGACGTGGGCGCGATGGAGAAGGCGGGCGGCGCGGGGGCCCGGCGTGGTGGCGATGGCAACGCGGGCTCCTCTATCTTCACCGAGCCGCGGCGACGCCCCGACGAGGAACCTGCCTCGCCGTCGTGCTTGCCTTTCCGGCCGTAGTTCCAGAGGCCCATGGTTGAGGGCGGCCGGCCGGCGACTTTCTTGGCTAGGGTTTGGGAGCAGGGGCTGCCGGGTTTCGAGGAGGCCGCGGGGTGGCGTGGGGCAGTGTGGACGACGACCCGTCCACGCTTCCCACTTAAAGAAGGACGGCGACAGTTCGACGTGCGGATGACAGGTGGGGCCGCCCGCTCGTGCGCATTGATGTTGGCCGGTGGGAGGTAGGTGGCCGCCTGCCACACGGCCCCGACGCGGACGAGTCGCGCGTCCATTTGATGTCCGCCGCGACCCAAACCCGGCGCAAGTTTGCACTCGAAATGGATCGGCCCGGACACAAAACAGACAGGATGGGTCCGGACCGTTGCGCGCTGGGCCGCCTCATTTGTCCCTTTTGCTCCAAACAGACAGGGCCGGACAGGATGGGGTCGCGCGGTGGAGTTGGCCTAAAACCCCAGCCCCCAAACCTCGACGGAGAGAGACCATGGACGGCGGCGGAGCTCGCGGGTTCCTCTCTGCCAGTCGGCGGCGGCGGGAGCCCAGCGACGCCCGGGGGACCGCCCTCCAGCTCGCCGCCGGGGTCGCCCCTCTGGTCCCGCGTGGCCGCCGCGTCCTACAAGCCGGGCCCCACCCCCACGTATCCGACGCCCGCGGCGAGCGATGACCGCACCGCCGAGGGGTCGGCGGTGGTCGTCGCACCTCGCCCTCCTTCACCTCCAGAGGGCAAGACCGAGGGCGAGGGCATGTCCACCCTCACCTCTCCCACGCTCGTCCACGACACGCACCCCGCCGTCGTTCACCGCCTGGGACGAAGCCCGGGCGCGCACCCACTTCCGCGTCTCCTCCGGCTCCGCAGCCATCGCGCGGCCGCGGCGCCTCCTTCCACCTGCTCAGGTACTCCCTACACCGTACACCATGCCGAAATCCAGCACCGTCGGATTTGTTGGATTCGCGACCTGATTTGAATTCGAAATCATGGCAGCGGCCTCGGGGAGGAGGAGGAGGAGGAGACCACCGGCGGCAACGGTGCAAGGGCCGTGGCGGTCACCGCGCCGCCCCGGGGCGCGACTCCGGCCGCAGGCAAGGCCCGGCTCACGGCTCGCCCCGACGCACTCGTCGGCCCGCGACTGCCGCATCCAGCCGCACAGTGCGTGGTGCCGCCCGCGGAGGCGATCCATGCCCTGACGCTTCCGCTCGCAGCGGAGATGCGTCATGGCTCCGTGCGCACTCTTCGCCATGCCGATTCTGGAGTGAGTGGTGCGCCGCTGTGTCATGACTCCCTGCTGGGAGGCCGCCGTGGTCATGGCGTTCCAGGTCAGGAGCCCCGCGGCAGAGGCGCCATCGATCACGGCGGCTGCGTCAAGGTGCGCGGCGAGGCTGGATCTCCAGGCCAGGAGCACGGCGGGGCTGGATCACCAGGCAAGGAGCACGGCGGGGCTGGAACTCCAGAGCGGGAGCAAGGCGGGACACACGCTGTTGCTCTTGGGCCTCCACTGCTGCGCGGTCCAGGCGCCATCGCTCACCTGCCTCCCGGTGTGCCAGCGCAAGGACGCGGCGTCGTCGTTGCTCCCGGAGCAGCAGCGCGCGGCCGAGGCGCTCCCCGGCCAAGACGAGCAGCACTTGGACCACTGGTACCGGGCACAGAGCCTTGGGGCGTGATGGGCTCGCCGCATGCTGCACCGAGATTTACTGCGATCGGTGCATTTGCGGCTGCCATCAGCCGCGGCTTCCACCACTGCAGCTACCAGACCTTCCGATCAGCCAGTACTTGATTCATCAGCATTACATGGTACGTCCACTACCAATGATCTTCTTCAGAGCGGAGCGCGTCGACAATGTTCTCTCATATTTCTACGTGTCTTGGCGTCACCTCTTTTCCGCGGGTGCTGTAAGATTTATTGTCGAGAAGGATCGATACGAGCTAAACGGAGATGGAAGAATTTCCACGTTTAAGACTACAACAACTGTTGTCCCGTTAGCTTATATATATCCCCCAGATTGAGTTTGGTGTCCCATTAGAGATCCTCACAGTTTATGTACTTGAACTGCTTTCTGATCACATTCGGATTTGGCGGTCCTCATAATTGTTGTCATGGTAACATTGTATTTGCTCCTTTAATTTCCCTCGCATTGTTGTCGTGGTACTTGATTCACCAGCATTGTATTTCCTTTAGATTCACTCTGTATCATGAATATTTGGTTCACTCTATGATAGGGAGCAGACCTTGTTGTGGTTAATTAGTAGACTCTAATTATCTCCAGCAGTTGATTGCTTGATTTTTCTTTTTCTTTATGAAAGCAAAGTCACCAGACCATTCTATTTTCTATTTGTATTGGAAGCACTGCATGTTACAGATTGTCACAACAAGTAAAACATGGCAGTTGCTCTCTGACTGGAGCAACTTTAGCTAGTGAATCTGTACATGAATTTTGCTTCACGGCACATAGATGATTCAAGTCATTAAGCTTCTTGGTTATGAGCTATCTGATCATCATAATTTGAGTTATATTTAGTTACACGGTAGTATTCTCTATATGTTTTTGTCCCAGCCTCCCAGGATAGGAATGAAGCACTGTGAGTAGTAATGTTAGCATTGGCAATACACACAATTGACTGAACCTTTTTTGTGCTTGATGAATCTGGTCATTCTTTGACTGAGTTGACCTAAAAAACTTAGATAGAAAGATGCTGGCCCGTCCCAGCGAGGGAACAAAAGCCTTGCAAATTTTGCAACTGACGAACATACAGTGCTTGAAAATAGTCGATCTATCTGTATGATCTGACCCACGCAACTACACCTCCAGTTGTTCCCTCCTAATCAATTTCTCATCAAGGACTTGCCATAAATTCTTCTCCCTCCGCTCCCAAAATAAGTGGCTCAAGTTTGTACAAAATTTAGTGGGAGTACTTATGGTACAGTACATTTGACACTCCCCAGCAGATGTATATATTTCTACAATTCTACTCCTGACATAATCAGCCACGCCACCATAGCATCAGAAATGCAGTTAGAAGAATGGAATTGGCTACACATCCCAGAGCTCAACTCAAGCATACACATGTCCTGGCATCGGCAACCAGGTCTAACAAGGAAAACGATAATACACTTGCATAGCAAAAGTAAATCTTGAACCCAAAGAGTAAGTAACATTACAAAAACATCAGTACATATGCTTTCCCAACAGACAATTATAAAAGAGATTGTTGGTGATAAATAACTCAACAAGAAATATTAAAACAAAACTATATAATAGGAGTACAATTGCAGTTTCCACCACCTATGTTGAGTAACCGACACATGTCGGAAAACACACGGTGCTACCAAACTGCTGGACTTTAACTTTTGGTAACACATCAGCTTAACCACCTCGTTTTGCAAACACGGGGAAAGCTTGCCAAGCTCTCTTCATATAACATTGGGACCAAAGGCATAACTTTACTGTCTAGAGGAGTTCTCCCCTCCAAAGGTTCAACGCCATTGGAGCACGTAAATTGCTTCCCAGATAACTTAGGTGAAGGCTCACCGAAAAACGTGGGCTGCTCCAAAGGTGACTTCGGCGAGAAGAACTTCTCGACATGATGTCCGCATTTGGTCATTTGGACATCTTCATACACTCCAACGCGTGGAGCCTGCTCTGAACTTGTGACATGCAAGACCTCATCAAGATCATACAAGTTCTCAACCGATTGCTTTGTTGGATCATAAAGACCCAATTTCCGCCCTGTGTTCAGCATGATTCTCCCAACCTTGGGGTCAACGGCCAGGGGAACCACAACATTTGCTCCAAGGGAATAGCCTGAGCAATCTTCTAAATATATTTTACATGCTCTATCCCATCGACCATGTTCCAGCTTCCAAATATCTAACTCTTCTGCAACTGGATCTGCATGAACAGCGCATAATATCCCCTCAAGCTCTACCACAAATGCTTGGGATGGACTTGTGCTGTTCCACATTGCGATGCTTGAGGGGCAGTTGATGACACCAAACGTCCTAGTCGCAATGTTATACGACACAATGGCCCTCTCATAACTCTGGCCTAACCTTGGTTCACTCATCCAATATAGTACTCCTGACAGATAGGTTGGTGGCATGTCATTTAAAGGAAGAGGCGGCTCAAAGTGGTCTTGCACCGAACCAGGGGCAATTACTGAGAATGTCAATAAATATTGACGAGATTCAAAGTCCTTCAAGTGATATAAGATTTGAACAATGACATGCTCCTGTGTAAGAAGATTGAACCCCAGGCCAACATTCCTGTTGCCAACACGAAAAGCATGATCTTCTGGTGTACTGACACTGTCATGCATCATCGAGAGTATATGGTTGGGCACATAGGCGAGCCTCCCTCGAGTGTGGTAGCTACTGCAGTAACCTGTGCAAGGGTTGTAGAGATAGTCCTCACTCTCAGTACTTAACAGGTTCATGCCATGACAAGGCTTGGAGCAAACCACCTTTGTGTCAAGCCATGTTCCTTGACTAGGAGCCTCTCGAAGCAATTTACCCATGGGAGCAAAACTGAAACCCAGACCTCTAGCACCCTTGCCCACAAGCATGATCTTGGGCCTCCTGTCTATGTTGTTATGCTCATAGTAAGAGCGCATGAAGCTTCGACTCTCGATCAATGTAAGCCACTGCTTGCTGACCAGCTTGAATTGCAAGGCAAAATTACCCGGGAGTCGGAGTAGGATCTCCTTAGTTGCCTTGGCCAGGGGAGAACACAAGGCTATCTCTTCATTTGTTCTGTGCACCGGAGCAAGATTCTCTTTAAATAAACTGACTCTAGGAGCAGATTGCTCAGTTTCGTAAGATGAATGAGTTCCTCTGATTGCAAGAATGGTTTCCAGAGTTCCAGATACTGGGTCATAGGTAATCACCTTGCGTTTGGATGTAGCCAAGATTACCTTGTTCCTTGATCCACAATTGCCAACAGAACCAATGACTCTAATAATTTGCGGCTCTGTCAAACCTCTTTGAACATGTTGTAACATATCAATGCGATGTGCCAACATCCAATCACCAGAGTTACAGTCCTTCATTTCCCAAATCTCCATAATACTAGTATCAGGACGAAGGTCCCGGACCATACACAAGTGGTCATCAAGTTCCACCAGGTGTACTCCTGGAACCTCGAAGATTGGTGGCCGGATCATACACATGTGCCCAGCAATCTCCACCAACTGCCCTCCTGATGCCTCCTCAACCGGCGGTGACCTGAACCATCTAAAGATCTCATCTGCGACAGAGAACGATAAGACGGCAGCTCTTGGCTTTGTGAGGAAAAGAGACGAGTCTATAACCCAATGCAGAAATCCGTCTGCAAACACTGGCATCAGCTTAGCTTCACTCTGTGTTGCCATTATCGCAGCAGCGGCAAACTTGCGGAACCTAAAGGGCACACCACCAGCAGCGGGCATCCAGCGATCCCCATGCTCGCCACCAAGGACATACACCTCGCACTTGATATTATCAACCCCGAAGTGTTTTTCGAAAAACAACCTCACTACCTTGTACTCACTCCTCCTGGAATCGAATCCGAGACCAGCAGTGGCCATGAAGGAGTCTTGGCAAGGCGGCAGCCGGGTGATGGCCCGTGTGGTGGCATTGAAAACATAGTAGGCTGGCTCCACGGCGTCATGCAAGAGGGTGAGGCCGCGGCACGGCGCAGGCGTCATGTCCACATGGTCACCACGCACGTCGCGGAGACTGAACAGTAGGCCATCACCTGATGGCGAGCACGAGTAAATCCCCGTGGAGTCGAAGCTCGCAGCCAGCGAGATGAATAGCAGCTTTGGTGGCGCTGCTGGCTCGGCCTCGACCTTGGCCCTGTGGAGGCTGCAGAACTCGTCGGAGGAGAGCAGCGCGGCCCAGGAGCGGCAGACGGCCCGGAGGCGGAGGATGGATTTCACGGGCAGCCGCAGGAACACCTCCGTCATCAGCTCATCCGGCGGCAGCAGCAGCGACTCGGCTAACGGCGGCATAAGCGACGCGGCCACAACCTTCCTCCTCTTGTTGCTTGCCATGTTTGTCCCCAAAATGGCTTGCTACCACCGAAAATACAAACCCCTGCGTGTCAATTGGATAGGGCGGGGTCAGCTGGGATCGATTCTGAAGAATAAATGTTTGCCTTTTCTTCCAGGAGGGGGAGGAAGCAGATGTACAAGAAATCGAGCTGGGGAGGGGGGGAGGGGAGCTAGGGGTTCCCTACCGAGAAGGGGGATCAAGATCTTCGCTGCACGCGCAGTCCGGTGGAGGGGACGATGCGAAGCTTTGATTTGGTCCGGCGGCGACGGAAGTGCTTCAGCGGCGGCGGCGCTGGAGAAGGATCGAGCGAGAACCCTCGCTCTTTATTTAGAGAAAAAAAAAACAATCTCTGGCCCGAAGCCGACTGTCTGTGGACTTGTGTTTACAAATTTTGTGGAGCCGAAACCGACTGTGGGTGGTGTGGGCTTCTCTACAAAGGCCGGACTTAGCTTTCAATTTTTTTTTAAAAAAGGGCGGACTTCCACGGGTACGACGAGGACGAGTGTACATAGCGGATGCAGCGAGGACCGACACTCCACTCAGGCATATCCAAGGCGGACGCGTAAACCTCCCGTAACCGTCTAGACCGCGCTGTCCGGATTGCAAACGCCATCCAACGTGATCCTGCATCGGTCCGCGGGGCGATCCGGACGTGATTTCTTCCGTAAAACGGAGATAAAAGTGGGGAGGTTTGCAGGAGTCCGGACACGCGGAACCTACAAATCTGATACCCCAGGCCCACCCAAAACCCTTCCCGGACCACGCGACTCCATCCTCCTCAGTTTCTTTCCTTCTTTCTGTCTTGTCGTTGCCGCCGCTCCACCACCCGGCCACCATGCCACACCCCCATTGGAAATCTACGTCTCCGTCACCTCCGGCGATCCAGCAGGGCTCCCCGCCACTTCTCCTCCGTCTCCGTTCAACCCCCTGTCCTCCGACTGCCCCGTCAGATACCATCCTCTACCATGCCCGGCAACCGTTCGGCGAATTGCCGGAGCTGAAAACAGTTGTCCCTTCTTGTTTGTAGCAATGGATTGCGATTTGGAGTACATATATGAGCGGTATGTTGAGTCCTCCGGCGGCTCGTTGGACGAGGAGGTCCGATGAGATGACGATGATGCAGGCGCTCCTTGAAGACACAGAGCATGCGGAGGAGCATGTTCTCAATTTCAAAGGCTCGATCAAGGGTCATCGAGTACTCAATCGCAACAGGGCGCGTGCGGGCATTTGGCACTGATGGCCGACTACTTTGTCCCTGATGCACTATTCGCTGACCATTTTAACCACGTTTTCGGATGCGCAAGACTGTCTTCGATCGTTTGTACCATGGCGTCCGGTACTATGATGACTATTTCATCCTAAAGAAGGACGTCATCGGAACGATTGGCTTCTTTGGTTACCATAAGTGCACGACGCACTCCGGATGCTTGCATATGGCACGACCGCTAATTCGTGGGACGAGTACCGACGGATGTCTGAGAGCACATGCAGAGATGCCATGATCAGGTTTGCAACTGCTGTGGTCGAGGTGTTCGGACCTCAGTACCTGAGAGAACCAACCGTGACAGACACCGAGAGGCTCCTGGCAATCTCAGAAGCAAGAAGGTGGTCATTTTTGCTTGGATATCTTGACTACATGCATAGGAAATGAAAGAATTGTCCGAAGGCTTTACAAGGGCAACATCAGGGTCATGTTAAGAAGTCCACCATGATTCTTGAAACAGTTGCATCACAGGATTTTTGGATTTGGCAGCTTTCTTTGGCATGCCCGGGTCTCACAATGACATCAATGTGTTGCAATGATCCTCGTTATTTGTGAGGTTGACCGAAGGAAAAGCTCCTCCTTGCCACTATACTGTCAATGGACATGAGTACAATATGGGCTACTATCTTGTTGACAGTATCTATCCTCCATGGGCTACCTTTGTCAGCACCATCTCAAACCAGTTGGCCAAAAAAGACTTACTTTGCCCAAAGACAAGAAGCAGCTAGAAATGATGTCGAGAGGGTATTTGGAGTTCTTCAGGCCCGTTTTGCAGTTGTTTGTGGACCTGCAAAATAATGGGATCCAGAGACCTTGTGGGCGGTGATGACATGTTGTGTGATCACGCACAACATGATCATCGAGGACGAGGGTGACAATGTTGCCGCAGCTCTAGAATTTGAGAACATGGGTGATCCTATCCAACTTCCTAATCAGAATCCGTCCACATTTGAGGAACTTATTCAAATGCACCAACGAATTCGGCATCGACCAACTCACGAGCAGCTCAACGAAGATCTGATTGAGTATTAGTGGGTCGTGAAAGGGGACAACAATGTTGGGATGTAAATATTTGAACTTTTTAAATTTGAACTAGTGTTGCATGTGGCTATTTGAACTTTTGTGCCCTTTGCATGCGGCTACTTGATTGTGCGGACTAGGAAAAAACGGAAGGCCGGATGCATGAGGCTAGGGTGGATGGTGTCCTTCCGCATCCGTGTCCACGGATTGGCCCCCCTATCCGCGGATGGATGTGAGAGGTTTTTTGCGGTTGCCGTTGAAGATACCTCACTACAACATTTACAGTTATCTGTGTAGGTTTATTAGGTGCACTCTTATTTTGAACTAAATTTGGTCATAAATTAAGCTAACAAAATGTAAACTACATGTCATAGAAATTATGTTATGGGAAACCTCTTTTAAATATGAATCCAACAATATACTTTTCGTACTCCCTTCATCTCAAAATGCAAGACTCAAAAAAACGTCGTATATTTTGACACAGAGGGAGTGTCATATAATTATATTTTGTTAGTCTTGTTTGACCCAAAACATGAGAGGGTCTCACCCTAATATATATGAGAGTCAAATAAACCCAGACGGAGGTAGTACCTCGTTAAGGGCAACTCGAACATGGATTGCCAAACTAAATGTCCACCCTTTTTTCTCGAAAAATACCGAATAAAATTAAACCAAATGTTCGCCTCTGATTCAGCCTCATCACTTTGACAAATGTATCTATATGAATAACAATTTAATCATAAATTTAAATACAAAAGCACCGGATGTTCAACAAGCTTTTAAATTTCATCGGTCCCAAAAGCAATTTTTTCACTCGACGAAAGTGGTCTTCATCTCAAGCTTTATATCTTCAAGTTTGAACTTCATAGGCACATGTAGATCCCGCTGTTATGCTCAGTGAGTTCCATCCAACAATGCATTAATGTGAAGGGCTTGCCCACCATCGTTTGAAACAAAACACACGCATGCGTGGGCTAGACAATGAGGCGATCAACAAATTGAGACATTGAGCAAATCAATAAAATGACCATACAGTAACAAGAAGCAAAACTTACAACCTCTTTGAGTGCCGCGCCACTTGCCACCTTGCTCGCAAATTTGGCAGTCGCAATTTTGTGAAGCACCGCATTGTAAGTGGCAAATAACAACATTTGTTCTAACCACTCAGGGGATGCATCCTACTTCAGCTTCGTTGAGTTGCTGGCAATTTCACCTTCCATCTAACGCCTAAGAAATAAAGAAATGCGAAGAAAGAAAAGAAAGAAAAGAAAAACCTGTGAAAACCATAAAATAAACAAATAAAATAGGTGAAAAAGAAAAAATATATTGAAGAAAATCTTTTAAAAAATAGAGAAACTGAAAGAAAAGCTACAAGAAAACGAATAAAAAACCCGGAAGAAATCTCCACATCAGCCACCACGAGCGATCTTCTCGATTCAAAACAGCGAACATAAACAATAGACGAAACAGGGGGTGAATATGCAGGAGGCGAGACTGAAGGAACACTCGCTATAAGCGAGATACAACATTCGCGATGCGTCGAATCAGGATTACCACATCCGCTCGCCCTTGGCACTTAATAAATGGCCAGGCGAACACGGGAGGAGCTTTGGCTCGTGAGTGGACGTTCTACTTTTTGTTTTATTATACCTCATTTATATTTCTGAAATGGTGCATATTTCAAAATGCTCATCATACGTTTTTTTTGCAGGGAATACATTTAGTTTTTTTAATACAGTGTAAGAAAATGTCGTGCCTTTCAGAAAAAAAGGAGGTATTCAGAAAATATTCACGTGTTTCAAAAATATGTTATTGAAATATGTAATGTGTAGGCACTATTTCACATATTTCCCTTTTTTTAGCACATGAATATAATGTTTTATACCCTCAAAAGAAAGACAATAATGTTTTAATATGTTACGTAGTTGTGTGCAGATGGGGCTTTGGGCCGCCAGACCCTACTCAAGACTAGATAGATCCAGCTGATTGCTAATGATATTCTCATGGTGGTATGTCTAGGTTATAGCAAGACCTAGCCTGCTCTTGCGTAATGCGCCTCCCTAATTGCGCCGCCCAGGCGCGCGGGAGGCCAGGGCCTCTTTTTTGTGTTTTTCACATTTTTATTTTTGTATTTCATATTTTAAAGTAACTTATACTTTCAAATATTCTAAATAAATATATTACTAAAATAATTCCATGAATACATTTGAAAAAAAGTTAACCAAGCACTTGAAAATTTATTTGTGTATAAAGAAAAATGTTTCTCATGAATACAAAAAATTTATACAAAAAATATACAATGTGTGTGGAAAAAGTTGATCATGTATTTAATTTTTTTATCAAAAAATTAATAAAACTTGAACAAGTATTCAAAAAATATTGAAAACTATTCAAGTTTTTAATCAAGAATTTGAAAAAAGTTAAATGTTTATAGAAAATATGCTGGCGCTGTATTAAAAAAGATTTAACTTGTATTTGAAAAATGTTACTCCCTCCATTTCATAATGTAGTGCGTATGAGGTTTTTGAAAAGTCAAACTTTTAAAACTTTGACTAAGTTTTTATAGATAACTATTTATATCTACACTACCAAATATATAAAGTATGAAAGTTCACCTTATAATGAATCTAATAATATAAGTTTGCCATTATAGATGTAAATATTTTTCTCCATACATTTTGTCACAGCTTGTGATGCTTGACTTTCAAAAAAAAT